ACTTCGAAAAAAAGAGTTACACCCAAGGAAACAGACGCGGTGGTTTAGCGATCGAAATATTTTCACGGGGTATCCTACGTTGTTAATTCAACTCCTTTCGGGCCGGATGCTTACCTGTTTGTTCAACTTTTTATCATACGGCGAGTAATTTATGTGTGCTGTTGACTAAACCAGATTGGTTTGCTTTGTATATTTGCATAGTCGTTGTTTCATTCGCAAATGTGTCTGTGCTCTCTTACCCTGCCCCGTCCCGTCCCCTACCCCCGGCTCACACTCTTCACTGATCCATCCGTCTTTGACTGGACTCAAGCGGTCGCATGACTGTGCTCAACTTCACCCTATGGGATGTGGTTCGTCTGACCAATGCTCTGTTACTAACTCGTGCCGCCCGTATTGTTCAACTGTTCACCTGGACTCGACTTGTTGCCGGTGTGCTACGAGATTTGCCGCGCAATTTGGCTCCCGTATTAGGGATCATGGCCACCGCGTATTATGTGTACGCTTTGTTGGGGATGAATTTGTTTCACGGGGTGATTCGATTCAATCCAAACACGACGTGAGTTTTAACACGAATGTGGTTCTCGCCTCGCTATACGTGTCCGGGCGATTTTCTGATCTGTACACCGAGATTGCGAGTGAATTTGGACAGATCCTGTTTCTTCAAATACCGAGTGGAACTGACGGAAATAATCGGGTGGTGTAAATTCGAACTCGACCACCGTTCAAGGCAAACTAAGCTTTATGCACCCGAAGAGTGAATTTTGAACGATTTTCACGAGGAAGAAACGCGAAACTGTTTGAATGGGGTAAACAAAAACCACAGCAAACTGCAAGCAGGAAAACCATAGTAATAGATTAAAATGAATAAATAAACTAATTCATGAGGTGTTTAATCATACCCGTAATAAATAATTAGTACCCGATTCACTAAAAAGTGGGCAGGATAACGGAGAATACTGCTTTTGTATGTGGCTGTGCCTGCGGGAAGGGGCTTATAATGGGAGCGAGTAACGGGGTTTAAGAAGTTCTTTATGCAAGCAGTGATCTTCGTTGTTCAAGATTCTATCAGCTGTTCTTCCACATGCATCGATATGCTTTCACACAATCAAATCAACCAGGACATTTCTGGCTATGCCACTACAGCGGGAAAGGAGTTTTATGGATCTGCAAAAAAATACAAAGGACCAGTATGGTTAATAAGGGAGAAATCGCAAATTTAAAAGCTACATTTGTGGGAACAGCAAGCTTCCTAAGCCTGAAAGCATAAAAACGAAGTTAACGAATTCCGTTGTAAACATTCTCTACACGACCAGTCCAGGAGAGATTGTGGGATAGAACCTCATCGAGATATTTAGCAGAGTCAGGTTTGGGAATACTGCGACATCGGGTAAATCAATAAAAGTAGTTTGATAACAGGAGCCAGATCTAAGGTTTAAGGGAATATCAACACGTTTGGAAACATTGAGCATAAAAATATCGCCCAGAATGTCTTGAATTTGGTGGAAAGATACATTATTATCTGGATCAGTCCCTCCATGATTGCCAATTATCACATCAAATCTGTTGATTTGTTGCTCCGACGTCGTGATATGTGTTGGTGTTACCGCACATGAACGCTCGATGTTGTCTGGGTACCTTTCCATAATCCTGCTATGTTATCAATGGTCCTTGAGGTGAATCACTTAGCGGAGTTTGATCCAGTCCTGGGTTTCATTCTGACAGAAGATAACATAGAGAATGTAAACTCGTCTTGCTACTCGTGCGGTTACATCCCTCCCACCTTTTACAGTAGGTAGACAGAAACCGCGAGACCGGTTGTGTGCTTCCAGGGAAATTGTGTTCAATCATTCACATACTACTAATTGTGATATATATATCTCCTAAAAAGTACACACTTCTCCAAGTCAGATTTAAAGATATTTGTCATTAAAGTACCCAACGCTGAACTCATCCTTATACCACCTTTTTCTGAATGTTATTCCGTTAAATTGGAATTCTATGTTCAGCTTACTCGTTTAGATAAGTAGGATCTCGGCACTGTTGTTCAATTTCTCTAGTTCACGTATCCGGTGTGCCGGTTACAGACACTCTCCTATGCAGTTTGGTTACAAATGTGTCTATTCAACGGAAGAAATTAAAAAAAAACGATTATAATCACTGATAGTGCTGTTAATGGTAGTAGTGTATTGTTTTTCGTTTCTGTTACACCTTTTTCAACGTCAGGACTCAGTATGAATGCGGAACCTATCAACAATTGGAATATTGGGCGGTGAATTTTGACGACTTTGCGGTGAGTGATATTCCCCTTGCAATTTCTTGCATGTGGATACCTTGGGGGTCGGATCGCCCGATTCAGTGGAATTCGCACATTTCTCGCATTTCCGACCATGGTATTTTCAATCACAAACACAACACAGGGTCAGATCTAAGTACGATGATGATGAGTGGCCCATTTGCCTGACACATACCAGTTCTAGAACCCATTGGACTCATCCCTATCACAGACGTGTGCTGCTTTCAAACAGGTTTAATCCAGCTTTTGTGCAC